GGGCAGGCCCTGGCTGCCGTGGTGGCCCGGCGTGCCGGGAAGGCCGGGGTGCCCCGGGCACAGGCTGGGGATCTTGTTGTCGTCCAGCGGGGCCGAGCCGGCCGCCAGGCCCAGGAGCAGCAGGGCGACGAGCGGTCTCATGACGCTGGCACGGGGGCTCCGGCCGCCGGGGTCCTCTCGCAGTCTGCGGGCCAGGCGGGACGGGAGTCGGGACCCAGAATCCCGGCACCGGCCTCGCTCCCCGCCCCGGCGCGGCCGGGTGGGTCCCCACCCCACTGCCACGGGCCTGAGACTGAGCGGCTGCGTGGGGGGGGGGGACGAAGGGGGGGCGCCCCCAGACCCAGGGACCCGGCGGGCGCCGGGGAGTGGCGGGGGACAGGAGAGGCTAGCCGCTCCCCCCACCCCACCCAGTGCCCCGCCCGCTCCAACTTTCCCCCAGCCCCTCCCGCTCCCACCTCCCTCCCACGCTCCGCCACACTCACCCCCTCCGGTCTCCCGGGGCCTCCGTGGGGCGCTCGCTACTCCAGACCCTCCAGCTGACCTCTGCCCCGCCCCTGCGCGTCTCCCCTGCCAGGCGTCCCCTGCCCTCGGCGTCCCCCTGGTTCGGGTGCACTCCCTGCCGGCTCCGGTCTGCTCCTCCCAGACTCCAAGAGGAAACCAGTTGTTCAGGGGCCAAGAGCTCCCGGCCGGGAAATAGCAGGGAAATAACTCGTGGTGTCGCCCGGCCACGGGCCAAGGTTTGGGGGAGAAAGGAAGGGGAGGGAGTCTTAGCTGGGCACAGGGAGGCAGAGCTGTGCGAGACAGACACTCGGGGCACCCACTGCTCCAAGGAGCCGGGAAGGAGAGATGGTGCCCTGACACAGACCAAGGACAAGACGAGTCCAAGGGAAATAGAAGCTGAGAACGGAGGGGGAGAGTTCTAGAGGCAGTTGGACAACTGGACCCCAGGCCTCAGAACAGCGCCTGCCACATTACTAGGCACTCAATACATTTTTGTTGAATAAGTGAAAGAGTCAGAAGGCAGGTGGTGGAGAACCTGAAAAAGTAGGTCTCCCCAGAGGGGAAGGCAGGAGATTGGAAATTGGGGTCAGAGGCTTGGGTGGGAAGCAGTCCTCACGGGCAATGGCACCGTGTGGAGTTGGGGCAAGTAAAGGGACAGGGAAGCTTCCATTAGCCCTGCCGAGGACTTCTCTTTCCTTCCCTGGGAGGCTCCAGACAGGATGGGCAGAGTCCCATGCTGGTCCTCCTTCCTTTGTCCCCTGCCTGCCCGCCCTGATCGGCAAAGGAGGATGGGCAGGCAGAGGGGCACGGGCCTGCCTCAGGGTCAGGGCTGGGCACAAGCCTCCAGGCCAGCCGCCTCAGGTAGCCTGTTGCAGTTGAAAGGCCAGGGGGTACCCAGTAGAGCCAGGCCAGACTGGCACTGGTGCTCAGCCTCCTGGCAGACAGAGCGGCAGGGGGGAAGGACACTGCCTATGGGGGTGCAGTGGGGCACAAGCAGCCCGCAGAGGAGCCTCCGGAAACTCTGGTAGCAGGGCAGACTTGTCAGGCTCTGTGGAAGGAGGAGATCAGCCCTCAGGCACCCCATTCCCGAGGCTCCCTCCACTTCCTGTGGGTCCCTCCTAATCTCTGCCTAGAGCACCTTGTAACCTCTGAGGATCTCCATCACCTCCTCCTGGGTGGCTATGCCCACCCAGACGTTTGGGAAGGCCGTGGCGTTGTAGCTCAGACCGATGCACATCTCCACCTGGACGGGCTCGCAAGCCAGCTCTGTAAGGGGAGAATTACTGGGGGTGGTACACAGGCTGGTGACCTGGGGCAAGTCACCCAACCGCTCTCTCTGGGTCATTTGGGGGTTGTTGTGGGAGTCAAAGGAGATAACATGGGGAGATGCTTTGCACACATCACAGGAGCCCATTATCCACAAGAGCCTGCCCAAACATCCTTCACCAGCCCTGGGCATGATGCAGGTGTCTCTCTGATCTCGGGGGCATGGGGCACTAACATTGGCAGGGCCCGCTGGGCATCTGGAAGGAAAGCCCCTGCTCTCACTCTCATCATCATCTTTTTTTTTTTTAAGTAGGCTCCACACCCAACATGGGCTTGAACTCACGACCCCAAGATCAAGAGTCGCATGCTCTACGGACTGAGCCAGCCGGGCGCCCCTCACCTTCTTCTCCGAGGTGGGCTGTGCAGAGGGGCTCTCTGTGTGACAAGGCTGGGCTGGTTCTTGAAACCCCAACCATCAACTCCCAGATTCCCACTTGCCTTGGGGGTGACGTTAAGTACCATTGTCACTACCGGGTGAGGATCCCTCCCGGACTCTGCGGAGTCCCCCCATCGGGGAGGACAGGGGTGGGCTGTTATAAAGTGTGCCAGTGGGGTTTCTTTTTTTTTTTTTTTTTTAAAGATTTTATTTATTTATTTGACAGAGAGAGAGACAGCGAGAGAGGGAACACAAGCAGGGGGAGTGGGAGAGGGAGAAGCAGGCCTCCCGCCGAGCGGGGAGCCCGATGAGGGGCTCGATCCCAGGACCCCGGGATCATGACCCGAGCCGAAGGCAGACGCTTAACGACTGAGCCACCCAGGTGCCCCGCCAGTGGGGTTTCTATGAATGGGCCCCAGCCTGCTCCAGCCTGCTCCAGCCTCCCTCCCCGCCCAGTGCTGTGGGGCGGGCTTCTCACCTGGGGGTGGGAGCAAGGGGCTGCTGCAGCTGTCATCACCGCTGTCCAGGCAGCGACTCCACGTGTCACACGTCCACTGCACGCTCTTACACCCTCCGTCACGGCAGGAGAACTCTCCGGGCCCACAGGGATCTGTAGGCATAGGGGGCATGGCGGTGCCCTGGGGCAGGCCTGTGCCCCCACACTGCCTTTGCGGTGCCCTGAGTGGGGTCCAGAGCCCTTCCTCGTCCTCCTGGAGGCGCCTCCACAGCCACACCCGCTCACCCAGGGCCACCTACTCTCTGTGGCATTGAGGGCCCGGTAGGTGGCAGAGAAGCCCCCGGTGCTGAAGCCACGGTCTGTCCTAAAGAGCACCACCAGCTGCTGGTGCGAGGAGATGAGGCGAGGTGGTGGCTCTGCTCCACAGAACCTGCGGGAGGCAGAGAGCAGACCTGGGCAGGGGGCCCCTGGCCTCCCCCCACCCCCGCCCGGGGGTGTTCCCGCAGGCCTCCCTCTGAGCTGGTGTTCTGGGCCGTGCCAGAGTGGGTGGGACACATGGTCGCTGACTCATGGCACTTAGGGCCTGGGAGGAAGACACACATATTCAGTAGGCAAAGAATTAAGCAAACTGCTTGAACTTGAGCCAGTCGGAGATGGGAAACACCAGTAAGGGTTTGAGGGGAAAGTAGGAGTGGGCCCCACGGGGCAGGAGAACCAGGCAGGGAGGGTACAGGGAAATGGCCTTCTGCACAGGGGCAATGCCGAACAAAGGCTTTGGGCTGAGGAAGGACAAGCCTCTTCCTAGGGTGACGGTGAAGAGACCCCTGGCTTAGAGCAGAAGGAACTGGAAGCCAGGGAGAGGGCAGGGTGGATCTGCGGGAGGCCTTGACCGTCAGACGCGGAGGATGGAGTTTCTCCGGGGCTCCTGCTCGGCGGCTACCTGCCCAGGAGGCCAAGGGCCCCTGCGTCGCTGGTCTCATACACCGCCACATAGTCCAGCCTGCACTCGTCCTGAGCTTCCAGGCTGAAGTTGTGGAACCGCAGTTCTAGGCCGTGTCCTGCAGGCACCGAGATGTGCCAGGTGCAGAGCTGGGGGAGGGCACGGGTGGAGTCGGTCAGGGTTCCTTCTCCTGTCCCGCTCTGCGCATCCAGGCAGGGCTCCAGAAGGGCTTTCTCCCTGCTGCAGGCCGGGCAGGGTGTGGGTGGGGGCGGCCCACCGAGCTGTCCGCATCGGTGGTGGAAGGGCCTTTGAACTTGTCTGCTCTCAGACAGAAGTTTACCCAGCACGGGAACGTCGGGTAAGCACTCAATGCCGTTCCCTCACTGCCTGTTGGAGCTCTGACCTTCCCAAGAACCAGGCGGCATCTCCCACGAGGTTCCCGGTCACACTAACCCGGGTGTGCACGTGGGTGTCCGCACGTGCCCCCCTGCCCTCCCCGTGGCGCCCCGGCTTACCTGGTGGTGAGGGTACCTCTGCGGGTCGCTGGGGGCAGAGAAAGTGCCCTGGAGCCCAGTCAGATTCCCCCCGCACCCTGCAGAGAGGAGGAGGGGCCCAGGAGTTTGCCAGGGTCTGTGCCTTCGCCCCGGACTGCAGGGGAGAGTTTGGGCCAGGCCCATAAGGAAGCAAGTTCTGGGCCAGGAGAATATCCGGGCAAGTTTGGGGCTGGGCCAGAGCTGGGGAGCCCTGGCCGGACCCGGGTCGGGAGCCCGAAGACAGTACCCGCGCTGTGCCCGGCGGGGCCCGCACCCAGGAACTTGGCACTGCAGCTGGTCTCGTCGCTGCCATCAGCACAGTCAGCAAAGCCATCACACACTGAGTCAGGCAGCAGGCAGACGAGCTGGTCGCAGGGGAACTCGGCGAGAGCGCAGCTCCCTGGGGAGGGGCGACGGGATTCAGAACCTCCCGGAGGCTCCACCCCTTTCTCGGGGGCGGGGGTGTCTGGAGGGGAAGGAAGTGGACGCTTGGGAGGCAGCCAGAGGCGGGGTGGGAAGACACTCACCGTTCCCGGGGGTCACAGCCTGGTACCAGGCGTGGAAACCAAATCCTTGCACGCTGCTGTCAGAGACGAATGCCACCCGGAGGCGGCTGGCGTTGGTGTTGAGTGTGGGGGGAGGCGCCCTCCCACACACTCTGCAAGGGGCCAGGTTGGGGGTGATGGAGGCTCAGAGCTCAGGGCCAGCCGGAGTGGAGGCTGCCCGGTCCCTGCGGTCCTCTTGCCTCAAGCCCTGACCTGGGGAGAATGGGGTCAAAAAGGGTCCTTTCATTTCCCAGGGAGCTCTGACTTTCCTGACTGGCACGTCTGTCCATCCGTCCGTCTGACCAACCATCCGTCCTTGTGGGCATTTCTTCTTGGGCAACAGAGGTGGGGGCTCCATCTGACAGAGAGGGGCGGTGACCTTCCCAAGGTCACACAGCAGGCTGGTGGCAGAGCTGGGCCCCTGAGGTCAGGTTTCTCAGTTTCTTCACAGCCCAGCCTTTCCCACTGCCGCTCCCCGGTTCTGTCCTCTAGACAGTGGTGCAGGGCAGGGGTGAGATCTCCTGGGGGCAGGGGGACCCACCTGAGGAGGGGGCCTTCAGGCTCAGGGGAGATTTCCAAGCGATCGAAAAGACAGGAGGCCACGCTCTCCATGCTGAGCGCTTCGATCTTGAGCTGTATTGCATGGTCTGCGGCCACCTGGATGTGCCACACGCAGTGGGTGTTGGGTGGGTAAGGGTCTGGGTAGTTGGGGCTGCTGAAGAAGCCCCTTGGGCCAGGAAGGAGGCCCCCACAGGCTGCAGAGATGAAGGTTAGAGTTCCGAGGTCAAAAGGAGAGAGACCCTTTTATTTCCAAGGCTCCCCTTCCTGCCCCCCCCCCCCGCCGCCATCTTGGGCTCTTCTCCAGGAAGATCTGCCCTGGGTACTCACTGGGCTGGGGTGAGGGGCTCATGCCTGCCTCCTCCAGCTGTCCTTTTGGGTTCCCAGATGCCGGAGAGGTGGTGGGGGTGGAGGGGGTGGTGGGGGTGGTGGTCCCACTGGGGGTCAGGCCTTGGGCAGGCAGTGGCTGATAGGAGGCCCCAGACAGTGGTGTAGCCGGCAACTCTGGAGGGGGAGAAGATGGGGGAGTGGGATTCAGAGGAGTCGGTTCCCCAGGGGTGATGGATACAATGGTTCATGGTATGTCATTTAGAAGCCCTTCTCCCAAGCGGGCCCGTTGCTCACGGGCTAGAATGATGGCCGCCAGAAGCCCGAGCAGCAGGACCAACACACCGGCCAGCAGGAGGACGCACAGCCAGGAGAAGCGGCAGTCGGGCTGCAGCCCTCGGGGGCGCCGACCTGCAGGTGGGCGGGCGGGCTGGTGAGAGCTCTGTTCTCGCTCGGGGGCCTCTCTGTCCCCCCCACCCCGGGCCCCAACGCGGGCCACTCCCTGAGACGGTTACCGTGCCAGGGAGCCGGGATGCTGCGGCCGGCGTCCTCCCGAGAAGCCGCTGGAGGGCACGGTGACCCCGATTCAGGCTCAAAGGCAGGATTGCAGAACTCAGTCTGAAAGGGAAAGACTGGGGGGCTGAGGGCCAGCGGCCACGCCGTCTGGCTCGCATGTGCCTCGGGCACGGCCGGCTCTAGGCAGGGAGAGCGGTCCTCTGTGACCCTTACCTTGCTCAGTTCTGTCGCCTCCACGCACAGGATGGTATCTGAGCGTTCCTTCATGGCTCAAGGCTCTGCATGGCTTTCTGGGAGTCCTTGTGGTCGCCCAAGACCGCCAAGGGCCCACTCCCTGATCCCAAACTGCCTATCAAAGGGGTAGCCTCTGTCCCCTTTGAGAAGGGGTTGCCAGACTAGACCGACTCTCAGACTGCCCTTGGCCGACTGGTCCAGGCTACTGGCTGCTCCCTGTGCTGGGGAAGGAGGCAGCCAGAAGGAATTCGCAAAGGCATGAAATGGTCCCTTAATCCAACTCAGCTGAGGATGCTAAGGTCAAGGGCTTGGCTCAGGGCAGCAGTCCTTAAAGGCACAGGCCATGGTTGAGAACACCACGCAGAGGAAACTAGGCACTCGTGGGGTGGGTGTGTGTGTGACCAGGGGAGCTGGACACCCCCTTTCCGCACCTCACCCCAAGTACTGAGTGAGTCCCCGAGGGGGGCTGGGAGGGAAGGAGGACCATGGCAGGCATGTCCAAGGCCTTGGAAGCTGGGTGTGAGGGTTTGGCAGCTTTAGGCCTAGGAGCCCTGAGGGGTCTGGACAAAAGCAGCTGTTCTCCCATCCGGGGCCTGGGGCGTTAGCCAAGCCCGGGTCTTTGCGAGGCCCCTGTGAGAGCACCTGTGTGGCCAGGACCCGGAGCTAAGCCAGTCCAGGAAGCACATGGTACGTACGCGCTGCTTCTGTCTGTGCTGGTGTGACTAGGGGAGCGGGAGGGGCGGGCTGTCTCTGCCCGGGGCCTGCCGGCCTGCGGAGGAAGGGCAGAGCAGAGGGAGGAAGAGGGGCCGAGTCCTTGGACAGGGTCGGCCTGGGCAGGCCCTCCACTGGGCTGCGGAGCCTGGCAGTTGGTACCATCTGCCGCAGGATAGAAAACCCACACTCTGCAAACTAGACCACTTCATGCCTCTTCCTCCGTGACGACAGTCTCTTGGAAAAATCCGGCCTGGCCCAGCTGTCCTCAGGGAGAAAGCAAAGGGCTTGTTAACCTGTCTTGCGTTAGCCATGCTCGGGCCGAGTCGGGCAGGGCAGGACGAGGGAGGCAGCATCATCTTCGTGGCCACCATTTGCAGAACATTACGTAGTAGGCCCTGGGCAAGAGGCCTTACGTGTCGTTTCCCTCCCTGGGTCACGCTACGAGGGAGCATAACCATCTCACAAATGACAGCACCGAGGCTTCCCCAGGGTCACAGAGCTGGTGCGATACAGAGCCAAGAGTGGAATCTAGGGCTAGGGAAATCCAAAGTGTGTGCTTGGCAGGACACACCTCTTTCAACCTCCACTGGGGCCGAGGCCTGTTGGCAAGAGCGGGGGACAAAGTGAGGAACCCAGAGGGGAGAGAAGAAACAAAGGAGATAGATTCTGTGGTCCTCACGCAACTGTCCTCATACTCAGGGGAGACCCTTCACCCCCTGGTTCTTCTCCATTCATCCCCTGGGGAGCCCTGGGCTGCTTGTATATGGGGGGCAAGACTTTTTCCCCAGACCCTTGGATGGGGACTGCTTTTAGAGGGTTTGAGAGGTCAAAAGTATTTCCATAATGACACTAAAACATTATTTGCCTTTTCATTTGTGAGCACAGAGCAGTTTTCCAGAGGCTGTGCTGGAAGCTTCTCTCTGGCCTTGCTGTTGTCCGTGGCCATCCTCTGGGCAAGGGGAACTAGGGCGCTCCAGCGGTGTCTAGCTCTCTTGGGCTTCGGCATGGCTCCCGCTAACTCCCCCATGCTGACCCCACACAGCCTTCTCTCTCCTTGACTCTCAGGCTCTTCTGTCACCAGGAAGGGCGAGGCCAGCCTGAGCTTGGCTAGAACATTCTGGGACTCCCGGCTCCTTAGGTTTCTCTCCTGCTAGTTCTCTAGCTCAAACTTCCACTCCAGCCAGACCAGCCTCTTCACTGGCCCTGGAACATGCTGTGTCCTTCCTGCTAAAGACAAGTGCCCAGGCTTGTCCTCTCATCGAGAATGCCTTCTTTTTCCTTGTTCCCAGGGCCGGCGCAGGAGGTGTGCATTAGGGTCTAACTCTTCTTCCCCACCCAAATCTGTCAGTCGTCCTCCTCCTCCTATCCTTGTTCACTGCCACCCCTAGCCTTGACCCTCATCCCCTGGTTTCTGGATGTCCCCTAGTCTCTAGGAGCCTGGAAGACTGCAGCTCCTTTCCAGACCACCTTCCGTGATCTCTAAGAGGCAGGCCAAGCTAAATATCAGGCAATCAGAAATGCTCATCCCTTGGATTGGATCGTCCCTTCTGTGGCTCTACTTCACTAACTCTGGTTTGGGCAGCACTATACTTTGCATTCCTGAGCCTTCATCATATGTTGCTCGGAGGAGAAAAGAAGGCACAAGCGTCCTGAGAGGCTAGGGGAACCAAACGTTGGCTGAGCATCACCCCCTAAGGGACTGTGAATGTTGATGGCGCAGTCCTGCAAATGTGGGGGTGTTTGTGGGACATGGACATTTGCATACCTAGTGTGTTCCCAACACAGCTCTGAGTAGGTATTGTTATGCTCAGATTACAGAGGGGGAAACTGAAGCTCGGGGCGATTAAGTAATTGGCTTGGACTGTAAAGGCTGGTCTCTTTCTGCTGCCTCCCGCTCAGGTGCTTGTTTCGGCCTCTAGAGCAATGAAGGACAGGGGCCCTCAGAGGTGCTCGGCCCAGACCCTGCCGGGTCCAGGTCTGTGAAAGATCGTGCTGGTTTTGCTCTTGGGTGTGTGTGGATGGATGGAGTCAGGGAGTTTCCTTGCTACCCTGCTGTTCAGCTCAGTTCCCAACAGACACAAGGTTGGAAAATTTGCTGCAAGAAAACCCTGCAAAAAGCTGTCAATTATTCACCCAAAAGGCGAAGTACTCAGAGTACTCAGATGGAAAGAGAACTGTCCTGCCTCTGCCATTGACAAACCAGTGGACTTGAGCCAGCCTTCCCTAACGCTTGTGTCCTCACTGGCCAAATGAGAATGTGGGCAAGGTGACCTCTATGGTCCTGACTCTAAAGCTCTGCAGAAAGGAACAGGTATTTTCTGAGCACTGGTCGTTAAAAAAGAATTTAGAGTAACTCTCAAAAACAGACCAGAGGCACGAAAGGCCCCCCGACTTGGGACTTTGAGGCATGTATTTAGAGAAATGACTTAGGAGGAAGACCCTTGAGCTGAGAACTTCAAGGTCCAATCTCCTTAACGCAGATGAGGCACAAGGCCCAGAAAGAGGGACGTTCTTGCTCAAGGTCACACAAGAGAAGTTGCAGGGGGAGAGCCACCCTTCCTCCCCAGGGGGAGGCCTGCTGGAATGCAAGCAAAGAATGGGGGCAGAAATCCCAGTTGCTAGGAGGCAAAGCTGATGGATAAAGAAACACAGGGACAGATTGTGTTTGGGATCTGTGTAGCGCTGGGACCTGTTGCCATGGGAATGAGAAAGCGCCACAGGTTAAGTGCAGAAGGGAGAGCTGGGAGCAAGGGTGGAGCAAGCGGAGCCCCTGCCCGGGGCATTACCTGTAGTCCTCTGCTCCCCTGTGGAAAACAACAGAAACCACCTCTGTGTCCACATCCAGTGAAAAACTAGTCGAGGGAGAGGTGCGGCAAGTTACACTGGTTTGGGACTCACCCGTCCACTTTGCTAGAAGCCTGTTTCCATTTTGAAGACCATCCTGTTGACCTGTGGTTTGGGGGGGGAAATCATCTGCATTTAAAATCTTGCCCTGGGTCAGGCTGCTTCCAGGGCAGGCCAGGGAGAAATCCTAGGGTTTGAGTCACTGTTTTCCCCACTTCTGGGAAATGCCCAGAAGCAATGCTCCCACCACTGTCTCATCCCATGATGTGAGTTTAATAGCAGGCACTGCTGTCTCAGCAAAGATGGAATAGACAGGCCTTGATTTTCCAGTGTCTGGAGTAGGGAGGCAGCTAGGAAAAGTCCCGATAGAATACTCTAAGTTCAACTGGAGGAGGCTTCAGCTTCCAGAGTTCTAAAATCAGTGGCAGAGGGACGCCTGGGTGGCTCAGTTGGTTAAGCGTCTGCCTTCGGCTCAGGTCATGATCCCAGGGTCCTGGGATCAAATCCCGCATCGGGCTCCCTGCTCCGCCGGAAACCTGCTTCTCCCTCTCCCTCTGCCGCTCCCCGCTGCTCATGCTCTCACTCGCTAGCTGTCTCAGATGAACAAACTAAAAAATATTTAAATAGGGGCGCCTGGGTGGCTCAGTTGGTTAAGCGACTGCCTTCGGCTCAGGTCATGATCCTGGAGTCCCGGGATCGAGTCCCGCATCGGGCTCCCTGCTCGGCGGGGAGTCTGCTTCTCCCTCTGACCCTCCTCCCTCTCATGCTGTCTCTCATTCTCTCTCTCTCAAATAAATAAATAAAATCTTTAAAAAATATTTAAATAAATAAAATCAGTGGCAGAAAGGGGAAGTCTGAACAGTACTAAGGGCTAGAAGATAAAACCAAAGGAGACAAGTCCCCGAGTGCCGCAGAGGCAGTCTCTTTAAAGAGATTAAGTCTGTTTAAACCTTGAAAAAAGCACTTTGGAGAACAAGACCTTTAACATCAAAGCGGCTCTTTCTAGGTATTAATAGGGCAAGTTGAAGTCTCCTGTTTATCAAGGGCCAAGTCTTGATTCCTCCATGTCCTGGTACAGCCCCTCTGCTCCGAGAGCAAACCTGGTTATGGCCAGCCTCTGCTGGAGCTTGTCCTAGGTCTGTACGGGCACCCAAGTGTCACGGGAACCATGAGTCCACGTAAAGAAGCGTCTGCTGGCTACGCATTTCTTACGGGTGAAGACGGTGTTGGGCTTACGTGGGAGACGCATGCTGAAGTAGTTAGAGATGGTAGTGACCCCTCACCCCTACGTGTTTTGCCCCCAAGTATCTGGAGACAAGTGTGGCAACCTGTTAACTGGTGAATCCAGATGAATCGAGCATTCAAAATGTGTGCTAGTTCAGTTTTGTAGAGTTGAAAAATTTAGACTAAACAGTGGGCAACATGTTCGAGAACTTGAAATTCACGGTCCAGTTGAAGCAGTAAAAACACGTGGCGACTAATCTGCTCAGAGTGCTTCCTGGGGGCAGGCCCTTCCCAAATCAAGATGCCGTCACTTACCAACTTCTCAAAGCTATTATTTATTCTGTACAAGTTTCCACTGGACATCAGACATTCTTCTACTCTTGCTTACACAGTAAACAAGTGCACATCAGCCCTTTGGCTCAGGTTCACAGGGCTTCCCTGGGGAAGGGGGTCAGGCCAGTTAAACTTGGGGCGTCTTTCTCTGATGCCTCCTTCTGGGAGCATTGGAAAGCTTCAGGCTCCAAGGGGCACAAGCTGGGCCCAGCCGTGTGGATGCACAGAGCTCTGTGCCTTGGTGCTGAACAGCTTTACTCTCTGTGAAGCACCGAGTTTTGTCCAACTACTCAGGGCAAAATCACGCCCGTGGGAAAGAATGGTACAGCTGAGGCAAGATGTCCCCAAACACCCAGGCTCCAGCTCCTGGGGTAGGACTGAAGACTGATGCCAAGAAGGGCTGAGGGGCGGCATGGGCATCCCTGAGAAACTCGGTCCAAAGGGCCTATGTCTAGGAGGCTCTGAGAAGGGGTGGGGGCACGAAGGTAAAGCACGTTAAAAGGGAATAAATTAAAGGTGAGAGAAACTCTAGGGATAAGGGGCTTGTGCTATCCTTCAAACAGCTGGGGGGAGTAGACCAGGGGTGGCTTAGAGGAAGTGGGCAGGAAAAACTTGATACACTACCAGAAGAAATCTCCTTCTACCTACTCTCCGCTCCACCTCACTGCAATGCAAACCGAGCCAGGGGCTAAGGGTATGACCCCCATCTCCCCCAGCGGGGTTGAACATGGCACTGGGGAAAAGGGAACAGGCTGAGGGTATTTCATGGAGGGGCAGTTACCCCCTGGTCCCCAAATGCTATAAGGCACAATTCTTGGAGGCAACTAGATTCCATCCAAAACATTAAAAAACAAAAAACAAAAAAACCCCAAAACTTGTTAGATCCCGGGTCTACTGTGGCTGTGCTTGGGGCCTGGCCAACACCCACCTAGCACCACTGGGGGCTAGCATTAGAAAAGCTGTACTTGAAGAAAAAAAAAAACAAAAAAACCGACCAGCACAACGTCCCAGCTGTGAAGAGGTGTGAAGGAGAGCATCTCCAGTCTGAAAACTTTAGTGATGGTAATTTAAAAAAAAAAAAAAATTGGGTTTCTAAAAACCCAAATCAGCTTTTTTCAAAGTCGTCCCCTTGTCTGTCCCCCTGGAGTTAGCAGCGTTAAGAGGGCTCTTGGCTCATGGGTGTTTCTCTTGCTTCTGGACCCGTGAGCGGGGTCCAGGTGAAGACAGGTGCCAGGTTCGGGCGCCGGTGCTTCCAGGCAGCGATCCTCCCAGCAGGCTCCAGAGGGCGCTGTCTTCTCGGGAGGAACTGGGGGCTGGAAGGGCAGCAAGTGGACCAGGATCTTCTCCCCACAGACTGCCGTTGTTTATTACACACAGGAAAAAAACCACAAGCTTAAAAATAAAAACAAGAGAAGCCGAGGGGGCACTGTGCTGGCTCCAGGCTCTGTGTCCTGTCGATCTCCGTGCCAGGTGTGGCTCAGGAGCTCCTGGCTCCCTGCTCCAGACCCTGACCAGGCTGCAGCAACTCCTGCTCGGCAGCTTTAGTTTATTTTTCTCTTATTTGTCAGGTTTTTTTTTTTTTGTCTTAAAAAAAAAAAAAACTTAGGGTGTGGGGCCACCACGGGGAAGGGAGAAAGGGATGTAGCTCCTCGCTGCTACATGCGGGAGGGTGGACTGGCCAATTCGTAGAAGAGCAGATAGGCGTCGCTGGTGCGCACTTGGCTGGAGGACATGGGTGTGACGCTGTGGAGAGAGGGGTGGAGGGATGTCAGAGCCCTGGAGAGGGGGCCACCGGGACACACACGGAGTGGCTGACGGACCGTGAGGGCCCATCGCTCCTCTCCCTAGGTGTCCCTGAAGCCGACCTCTTTTGCTGTCTTCTAGAAATTCTGCAAAGGGGCAGTAGACTCGGACGTATTACACGGACTTTTGGCTCCGACTTCTATCCAAAGTGGAAGCCACACAGGTGGGTGAGATACAGGTGTCTGGCAGCCAGGAGCCCTGCCTGAGAGCTGTCTCACCTGGAGTCATTGAAAGTGTGCCATTCGCCCGTCACTGGACTCCGGCAGTAGGCCGTATAATGGCCGCCCATGGTGGTTCCAGAGTGATTGGACACAGCGTACAGGTTGTAAACAGCGTGGTCTGAGGAGGAAGTACAAGGTTTCAGGCCCCCCAAGCATTCCTTGCCCCACCCTCCCTCTCCTTCCTGCCTCTATTCCTGATTTTAATAACTTGCTCTTCAGTAGCTTCCTTCTACCTCTTGGCCTCTCATCTGGATTTTAGGCACCTGGGCTTTGTTTGCCCTCCCAGCTGAAAATACTCACTGGTGTTTTCTGAGGCAAATTCTCTCAAGTCCAGGTCTCTTAGCGGGAAATTCACAAATGTTGTGAGCTTGCTGGTTCGTATCCTGGATTCTGAGAACCGCTTCAGATCTGGGGTTGACGTGAGTCAAGGACAAGAGAGGGTGGCGAGGGTAGTCAAAGTAAAGGGGGCTGAGTCCTAAGAGGGTGAAGTGCTTCTCAGAAGCAAAAGAGCAAACAGGGAAAGGAAAGTCTACCAAGTTTCCTTTTTCCTACTCTGTTTGCCCTCAGTTCAGCCCCTTGTCATCAGTCACTACCTAAAGGCAAGCCCTTGCCATGGTGGATGGTAAGGATACGGAGCACCAAGATCTTTGGGAACCTCTGGATGGAGAACTTCTTTATACATCGTTTTCTGGCTCGGCAGCGACAGCATGTCTGCAAGACACGACAAACAGAGCTACAGAGGACTTGGGGGAGAAGTCAGCAGGCCGAGTCCAGTAACTCGTTGGCTGCATCTGCTGGTGACAGGTCTTTCCCAGAGTGGGCTCTTGGATGTGTGCTCCTGATCCCGTGGAAGGGGGACTTACTGGCTTTTCATCGCCATCAAGCACATCCTCTTTGGTGAAGAGCCTCATGCAGTCCATTAAAGTTACCTCAGGATAACCTCGCTGGCAGAGACAAAGAGTAAAAGTCACAGAGATCGACGACACAAGGTAAGAGGGGGCGCTTCCAACATGGGGCAACAGGGGCACATACCTTAGCGATGGGCAGTGAGAGGTCCCAGAAGGGGTCAAAGACTGTAGAGCAGTAACCACAGTCCATACATGTCAGGGAGCTCTTTAGCTGTCCAACGAAGAGATCTGCAGAAGAGATGGGACAGCGGAGCTTAAACCTGGAGAAGGAGCACACGTCTTCTCTGGGCTGTGTGCCTGCTCAGTGCTCCCGCCTCTGTCCCTGGGCCACCGGGCAGGAGGAGGGTCCCCTGAAAGGAGGACTCTTAGGGCTTTTCACGCTCATGCTCTGCTCAGGCAAAAGCAGTTAACAGAGAAAGCAGGCCTTCCTCCCATTCATGCGCTTACCCCCAATCCGACTGTCTTCCCGTTCTAGATATTTCCTCCACATCTGTCGTCCTTTCTCATCATCACTAGGAACCAGAGAGAGGGAGACAACCGGGTCAGAGCTCATGCCATGAGAAGTTTACGGGTCCATCAGTCTAACTCCTTAATATTTAAAATTCTCTCCAAATTACTACCCCCAAAGAAGTCAGCCAAAAACTCAAGTTCATTCTCCCAGCCAAAAACCCACAGCATTCTCCTCTTACGGAAGATGATCGAGGTTCTCAGGGTTGGACTTGGGCCTCACTGTCACTCGGTTCACCTCATTGTGGAGCCCATCCAGAAGAAAGCGAAGAAACTCCTGAGCATCTTGCTGACTGAGTCCAAAGGAAAGAGAGTGAGCACTACCTCTCATTCCAAGAACCAACCTGCTGTGGCTGGCACCCACCCCAGGGAGGACACGTCTGCAAGGCTCTTACTTATAGCCAACGAAGCGCGGCGCATATCTCTGGATCTGGGTCTTGAACTCAGATGGGCTCACCACATCATTGGGGGATGAAGTCCATATGGTCTGGATTAGTTTTGCAAACTCTATTGGAAGGAGAGGGTAGAGAGGGGGCATGGAGGACAGGTGAGACATTTTCTGTAAGAAATTCAAACTAGAATTCCACCAAAACGAAGCCAAAGAGAGAAAAGTAGGAGGGATACATATAACATCCAGCTACTAATATGGCCAAGAGCAGTGCGGAGCAAGTGTCCGGGACAGGACCCCTCACCTTCCATGAGGGCGGTGTGTGCATTGCTGCTGTGGCTGAGATCCCGCATGAAGAGCCTCTGCAGGCAATAATCCCTCAGCTCCCGGGTGTTGCTCAGGCACTGCAGAATGGAGTTCATGAAGCACTGCAAGAGATCATCCACTCCGTAAGACAGAGCCCGGTCTGGCAGGTCCGCTTACCTAGTACCAGAGGCCGTCTGGTTCATCTACCCCAGAAATGAACGCTCCCACAGCCTCAAGTTCCTCTTCTTACAAGGGAAAGGGGTGTCATGAGGCCAATTCCCCCTGCCCGCACAGGTGATGTAACCGGTTATTGACTGTGGAGGTGTACAAACGGGTGTGGGTGAGCTGGACAGAAGTGGGGGGGAAGGGATGGATGTCCTTCAGGAGAAGGATCCAGGAAAGTAGCTGACAGTGAAGAGGGCAACTCCCCTTTAGTAGTGCTTCCTGCTGGGGGCCGGGAGAGAGGCAGAGCGCCAGCCATTCTGTAAAACCCACCAGCCAGGATGGGCAGGTATCAACTGGCCTCTAGAGGATAGGGAGTCAGCAGGAGCCAGGAGGGAACTTCTGGTCAGATGTCCATTGGGACAGTAGGAGGTGGCCTTAGGAAAGAAGTGGGCTGGGAAGAGCTCACCGTGTTCCCAAGGTTTCGAAGACCAGCCAGACCCTGGGCGCTCTTAGAATTCTGTAAGCAAAGAACACATGGCATATGAGGCTGAAGGCGAAGAGGCTGGGCCTGTGCTAGGCTTGCTCATGCAACTATCTGCTAGCTGGAGCCAGGAGCACCAGGCACACATGTAATTCTCTCTTCAACACACAACACAAATATTCTTCAGGGCTTTCCTTTCTCTTGTTGACATGTGTTTTCCCCCGATCTGTACATGCCTCTTCATTCTCTGCCATACTGGAGGCTGGAGATTAGAACTAGAGCCTAGGAATTCGTGTATTTGATTCCCGGCTACAGGGAACGCCGGGTCCCACATCCGGGCACTATCTCAAATGACCCACTTTTCTACCCCTAGATGTCCAATACATGAAGCAGCTGTCGTAACGGGCACTTCAAGGAGAGCTTGAAATGTTCAATGACAAAACATCTGAAGTGCGTTAAAGATCTTCAGCTGGGGAAAACTGAAGTTGGCCTGCCATTCTGAATTGTCGGAGACAGGTGGAATTCCTTTCAGCTGAGCTCATCTCCTAAAGGCTGATTAAAGCCCGGGAGAATCCTCCTTGCCTGGCTCAGGTTTCAGCATCCTGACTGGTTCCTAGCTGGGAACCCATTTGACAGGCAGATTGTGGCCATGCAGAGGTAAGCACCAGGCTGAAGGTGCCACTCCTGTTCTTGTCCCTATTGTGGAGGCTGGTGAGGGGGGTTGGAGCGAGACAGCTGCTAGGTCCAGGTCTCTTGGCTAATTCTGGCCCTACCTCCAAGGAGTCAGAAAACCTTCGGGCTCAAAGGGTTAAAGAAACAGTGTGCAGATGAGCCTGCCACCCCCTCTCTCAGGGAGGGGACCCGGCAGCCGGCAACTCTGGAGCAACACTGACTGGGGCATGCGTGGGGCCAGCTCAACCCCGATCAGAACAGGAGCCTGAAATAACTCAGCTAAAATTACTCATGCCGTGTGCTGACAGCCTCTGAGGCTGTCAGCAGCTCAAAGCCCATGAGGTTGTCAGCTCAAGGGGGTGGGGTGGGGAGAGGCAGGCTGAAGGAGGGCTTTTCTCAGGAATTGCCCTGCTGATCCCACAAGTAAGAGGATCCCTTCTTGCCAGTGATCAGGTCTAACACTAACAGGTAGGAAAGGAAATATACTCCAAAGAGAGACCTGGTTTCCACCTGCAGTTATCGAGCAAAGCTTATTGGCAGCAGGTGGGCATAAGCATCCTCGAACTCTGCCAGTGCTAGTGGTATATGGCCCCAAACACAAAATTTAAATCTTACCTTTCCGACAGTCTAAACCCTGATGTTCCAGTAAGAGGACCACAACAGAGATAATTCCCTGGACAAAGACCTTATCAGCATTTTCAGGTAAACCTGGAGAAGGACTCCCCTGGGGCCCAACAAAAACACTGAAGTCTCTGAGTTGCCCATTCGGAACTAAACGTTAAAGCCTGTCCACAACAGGATACCCGTCCTCCCCTCCCCCAAGATCCACCCTCACTCCTATTTTTGGCGGTGCTTGTTAGTTCTTACCCCCTGTGCCTCAGACAACATCTGTCTAAAGGGTTGTAGAAGCAAAGCCTGGTGATCATGTCAATGTGCACCAAAGTGGGCCTCCAGCTGAGGCAGTCCCTCAGCCCTAATGGGGGCAGGGCAATGGAAAATTAGAGGCGCCTTTGTACCGAGGCACTTCCATGGTGTTGACACTTTTAACTCTGACCCAGCACAGTGAGGGTCAAGAACAACACATCCCCACCTACGGTTACTGTTCTTGAGGATCTAACTCTACTAATGGCCTGGCAGGTGGAGAGATGGGGAAGGCTCCTTTAAGGTTTTGCCAGGACCCTCTGTTTGTTTTTCTTTTTGTAGGGGGTGGGGGTGGCTCGTGCCTTTGTCTAAAATTTCCTAAGTTCAAAACTACTTGCCAATTTCTAAGCGCTCTGTGTAGAAGGCGGCTGGATGAGAGGAGTCGGAGGGTGGGAGTGGAGGGGAGAGCAGGGCTGTTCTATGCCCAGCCAGATACTCTTCTGCCATGAATAGGAAATCAGGAGCTCCAGGGAAAGTCAGCACTTTCCATTCCAGAGAGGAACAAAATGTCCCAGGAGTGACCTTTCTTATGGGGAAAACAATCCTACCTCAGGGCCAACAGGGAGAGGCTAGAACTGGAGAGGTCGGGAGAGACCCCACACAGCGAGCCTCTCACAGGGAGAGAAGGAAAGGATTCCAGCGGCTATGTGGAGGGCATGTGCAAAGGCTTGAAAGAGTCTGGATCAAGAACTTCCTTAAAATTAGTCGTCAGCAAACCTAACCTTGACTTAGGGGCAACCACTGTTCTAAAAAGTCGATGCCACCTCCACGGTTAGTAAACAGACAGTATTCACCCTCCGTGAAGGAGCAGGGGGCTCAGGAAGAGCCCGCTCTGGCTTAATGGGGAGGAAGCGTTTGAGGAGGGGGGTCATATAAGCAAGGCTGATTGAGGTTTGTGTCTTCACACTCAAGACCCCCGTAAAGGGCTTTCCTGCTTGCTCCACCTGTGCCATGAGGGTCAGCCAGGGGTCCTGGCTGTGGCCAAGGAGCCTGGTGTGGCCCTGGCACGGGGCAGTGCACGCACTGCCAACTCAGGAGCTGGTGCCTGTTACATAAGATCCGTCAAGCTCTGGCCCCTTCTCCCTTCCCCAAGGGGGCAGTGCCCAACCTCCAGCCCCAGCATGACCCTGGGGTGGTACTTCATTTGAGGGATCCACTGCCCACTTAGCAGAACTGGGGGAGGGCCGGAAAGGAAAGGGAAGCTGCCTTCTTTCACCTGTCTGCGACTCCTCTGCCCTTCACAGGGTCAAAGGACCCCCGTTACCAACCCTTCGGAAGAGCGCCCTTTGGGACCAGTGAGGAGGGGGCGGCTCTTTCCCACCAGCCCTTCTTGCTGGGTTTTGGCCTTGGAGGAGTCACGGCCGCAGAGTCCAGCGTGCTGCCGGCTCCCTCACACAGCGAGAACTAGTCAAGGTTACGCTTTCCTGCACCTGTCCTGAGAGGTGCCAGGAATTAAGAGCCCAAGGGCCCGCGTCACAAAGAGGGAGAGGAAGAGGGGAGGGGGGGGACCTCAGGGGCTGGGACCTCAACAAGGGGAGGGGGCCGCGAGTAAGCCTGAGATCACCTGGGGAGGGGGCATTCTTTGCCGGGAGACCCTGGGAAAGGAGGGGGGGGGCTGGGAAGAATCGGTCCCCCCCAACGGGGGGGGGCGCGCGGCAGATGGGGGTGGGGGCGTCCGGGGGAGGAGGCGGAAGCCCAGTCCCTCGGCGTGGGGGTCCCGGAAAGGGGCCCCGCGTACCTTGGCTTTGTTGAGCAGGAGCCCCACGAAGGTGGAGAGCAGCAGGGAGGGGGAGAGCGGGGAGCGCGGCCGCAGCTCCTTGGCGAGGGCGGGAAAGGGGGAGGCCGGGGGCTCCTCGGGCAGGGTCACGGTGTACGAGGTGCGCATGCTGGGGGGCGGGCGGCGGGCTCGGCCCCACGCCTAACGTTGGCAAAGGGGGCGCGGGGAAGGACCGCGCGGTGCCACGGCCCGGACGCTGAGGCCGGCGAGGCCGCCACAAGACACCGTCCGCGGCGCCCGGCAGTAACCGCTCCGGCCGTCCGACCGCGCGCTCCTCCGCCTCAACCCCTCCGGCGCGCGCCGCCAACAGCCCAGGCACCCGGCTCTAGCGCTCCG